CAGAGATTCGTGTCATTTATGTTAGCTGTCCACGGGACACAAGCACGCCACTGGGAGTACAAGTGCTCGTGGTCCTGCGCTCAGGAGGGGAGTGACTTCCGGGTGGGAAAGGAGGGACATACAGTGTCTTCCTGGCGCCAGAGCAAGCCCGGCACCTCGAGGCGTCCGAGGTCATAGTTCTGCGGAAGCGTGCAGCTCCCTGACGGTCTGGCTCAATCGAGGCTGCCACGTAGGGTGTGTGATTGCAGGGTGAGAGCAAAAGGGAGGGTTCATCTGGTCAGAATTAATCTGCAGGGATCTGTTACATTGTCCGGCGTAGTGATATTTCTTCCAGCATTGAAACAGATGGCTGTTTCTCTGGGGGAGTCACGGAACGAGGAAGTTGGCTTACATTTGGGTGCTGTATTGTACAAAACAACTCGTACCTTCATAGCTTTGGGATGATAGTAAGTGCAGGCCCCTCCTGGCTTGAGAGGCATGTGGGAACGGAGGTGCCTGAGGGGACAGCGCAGGCTCACTTCTCCCTTGGGGGCACACTCGGTTCCTCTGCCTGCCCCCTCCCCACAGTTGAATGAATACGTGCACACACACTCTCACTCAGAGCAGGTGTCACCAGCTTCTCTATCTAGTTGAATGAATACGTGTGCACACACACTCTCACTCAGAGCAGGTGTCACCAGCTTCTCTATCTAGTTGAATGAATACGTGCACACACACTCTCACTCAGAGCAGGTGTCACCAGCTTCTCTATCTAGTTGAATGAATACGTGTGCACACACTCTCACTCAGAGCAGGTGTCACCAGCTTCTCTGTCTAGTTGAATGAATACGTGCACACACACTCTCACTCAGAGCAGGTGTCACCAGCTTCTCTATCTAGTTGAATGAATACGTGCACACACACTCTCACTCAGAGCAGGTGTCACCAGCTTCTCTGTCTAGTTGAATGAATACGTGCACACACACTCTCACTCAGAGCAGGTGTCACCAGCTTCTCTATCTAGTTGAATGAATACGTGCACACACACTCTCACTCAGAGCAGGTGTCACCAGCTTCTCTATCTAGTTGAATGAATACGTGTGCACACACTCTCACTCAGAGCAGGTGTCACCAGCTTCTCTGTCTAGTTGAATGAATACGTGCACACACACTCTCACTCAGAGCAGGTGTCACCAGCTTCTCTGTCTAGTTGAATGAATACGTGCACACACTCTCACTCAGAGCAGGTGTCACCAGCTTCTCTATCTAGTTGAATGAATACGTGCACACACACTCTCACTCAGAGCAGGTGTCACCAACTTCTCTAGTTGAATGAATACGTGTGCACACACACACTCACTCAGAGCAGGTGTCACCAGCTTCTCTATCTAGTTGAATGAATACGTGCACACACACTCTCACTCAGAGCAGGTGTCACCAGCTTCTCTATCTAGTTGAATGAATACGTGCACACACACTCTCACTCAGAGCAGGTGTCACCAGCTTCTCTATCTAGTTGAATGAATACGTGCACACACACTCTCACTCAGAGCAGGTGTCACCAGCTTCTCTGTCTAGTTGAATGAATACGTGTGCACACACACACTCACTCAGAGCAGGTGTCACCAGCTTCTCTATCTAGTTGAATGAATACGTGCACACACACTCTCACTCAGAGCAGGTGTCACCAGCTTCTCTATCTAGTTGAATGAATACGTGCACACACACTCTCACTCAGAGCAGGTGTCACCAGCTTCTCTGTCTAGTTGAATGAATACGTGTGCACACACTCTCACTCAGAGCAGGTGTCACCAGCTTCTCTATCTAGTTGAATGAATACGTGCACACACACTCTCACTCAGAGCAGGTGTCACCAGCTTCTCTGTCTAGTTGAATGAATACGTGTGCACACACTCTCACTCAGAGCAGGTGTCACCAGCTTCTCTATCTAGTTGAATGAATACGTGCACACACACTCTCACTCAGAGCAGGTGTCACCAGCTTCTCTAGTTGAATGAATACGTGCACACACACTCTCACTCAGAGCAGGTGTCACCAGCTTCTCTGTCTAGTTGAATGAATACGTGCACACACTCTCACTCAGAGCAGGTGTCACCAGCTTCTCTGTCTAGTTGAATGAATACGTGCACACACACTCTCACTCAGAGCAGGTGTCACCAGCTTCTCTGTCTAGTTGAATGAATACGTGCACACACACTCTCACTCAGAGCAGGTGTCACCAGCTTCTCTGTCTAGTTGAATGAATACGTGCACACACACTCTCACTCAGAGCAGGTGTCACCAGCTTCTCTATCTAGTTGAATGAATACGTGCACACACACTCTCACTCAGAGCAGGTGTCACCAGCTTCTCTGTCTAGTTGAATGAATACGTGTGCACACACACTCTCACTCAGAGCAGGTGTCACCAGCTTCTCTATCTAGTTGAATGAATACGTGTGCACACACACTCTCACTCAGAGCAGGTGTCACCAGCTTCTCTATCTAGTTGAATGAATACGTGCACACACACTCTCACTCAGAGCAGGTGTCACCAGCTTCTCTGTCTAGTTGAATGAATACGTGCACACACACTCTCACTCAGAGCAGGTGTCACCAGCTTCTCTATCTAGTTGAATGAATACGTGCACACACACTCTCACTCAGAGCAGGTGTCACCAGCTTCTCTGTCTAGTTGAATGAATACGTGTGCACACACACTCTCACTCAGAGCAGGTGTCACCAGCTTCTCTATCTAGTTGAATGAATACGTGTGCACACACTCTCACTCAGAGCAGGTGTCACCAGCTTCTCTGTCTAGTTGAATGAATACGTGCACACACACTCTCACTCAGAGCAGGTGTCACCAGCTTCTCTGTCTAGTTGAATGAATACGTGTGCACACACACTCTCACTCAGAGCAGGTGTCACCAGCTTCTCTATCTAGTTGAATGAATACGTGCACACACACTCTCACTCAGAGCAGGTGTCACCAGCTTCTCTATCTAGTTGAATGAATACGTGCACACACACTCTCACTCAGAGCAGGTGTCACCAGCTTCTCTGTCTAGTTGAATGAATACGTGCACACACTCTCACTCAGAGCAGGTGTCACCAGCTTCTCTGTCTAGTTGAATGAATACGTGCACACACACTCTCACTCAGAGCAGGTGTCACCAGCTTCTCTAGTTGAATGAATACGTGTGCACACACACTCTCACTCAGAGCAGGTGTCACCAGCTTCTCTAGTTGAATGAATACGTGTGCACACACACTCTCACTCAGAGCAGGTGTCACCAGCTTCTCTAGTTGAATGAATACGTGCACACACACTCTCACTCAGAGCAGGTGTCACCAGCTTCTCTGTCTAGTTGAATGAATACGTGCACACACACTCTCACTCAGAGCAGGTGTCACCAGCTTCTCTATCTAGTTGAATGAATACGTGTGCACACACACTCTCACTCAGAGCAGGTGTCACCAGCTTCTCTGTCTAGTTGAATGAATACGTGCACACACACTCTCACTCAGAGCAGGTGTCACCAGCTTCTCTGTCTAGTTGAATGAATACGTGTGCACACACTCTCACTCAGAGCAGGTGTCACCAGCTTCTCTAGTTGAATGAATACGTGCACACACACTCTCACTCAGAGCAGGTGTCACCAGCTTCTCTGTCTAGTTGAATGAATACGTGCACACACTCTCACTCAGAGCAGGTGTCACCAGCTTCTCTGTCTAGTTGAATGAATACGTGCACACACACTCTCACTCAGAGCAGGTGTCACCAGCTTCTCTATCTAGTTGAATGAATACGTGCACACACACTCTCACTCAGAGCAGGTGTCACCAGCTTCTCTATCTAGTTGAATGAATACGTGCACACACTCTCACTCAGAGCAGGTGTCACCAGCTTCTCTGTCTAGTTGAATGAATACGTGCACACACACTCTCACTCAGAGCAGGTGTCACCAGCTTCTCTATCTAGTTGAATGAATACGTGCACACACTCTCACTCAGAGCAGGTGTCACCAGCTTCTCTATCTAGTTGAATGAATACGTGCACACACACTCTCACTCAGAGCAGGTGTCACCAGCTTCTCTGTCTAGTTGAATGAATACGTGTGCACACACTCTCGCTCAGAGCAGGTGTCACCAGCTTCTCTATCTAGTTGAATGAATACGTGTGCACACACACTCTCACTCAGAGCAGGTGTCACCAGCTTCTCTGTCTGGAGGGTAGAACGTATACCTGCCTCCCAGGCGATCAGTGCTTCACGAATAGTTTCCCTAGTTGTACTTGGGGCGCACTCCGGGTGACGGCAGGCCGCGCTCCCCCTGGAGCATGAGTGTAGCTGTTCCGTTCGGGGTAAGGGCAGACCCGGAAGCACGACAGTCCCCTGAGCGGGGTTTCGGATGAACTGTGGAGTGGAGGGTCAGAAGTCAGACTGCTGCAGTTGGAACTGTGGCTCTGCCAGCAATGACCTGCGGACATGGGCAAGTTGCTTAAACGCCCTCCGCTTTAGTTGTCTTTATTTATTTTTTTATCCTCACCTGAGGACACTTTCCTATTTTTTTTGTTCAGGTAGAGTGGGAGGGAGAGAGAGGAACAGAGAGAGAGAGAGAAACATCGACGTGAAAGGGACACATCGAGTGGCTGCCACCCGCACATCCGACCAGGGCCGGGGACAAACTGCAACCGAGGTACGTGCCCTTAGCGGGAACCGAACCCGGGTCTCTCAGGACCGCAGGCCGACGCTCTAACCGCTGAGCCAAACCGGCCAGGGCTGCTTTAGTTGTCTTTAAATGAGGAGGACAGTATTGGCTTCATGCAGAGATGAAAGGAGACAACGCGTGAAACGGCGGACAAGGACCGTGCTGGCACGTGGTGTTGTAGATTAGGGCGCTGGATCAGACAGGCCTAGCCCACATCTCCACGGAATAGGACAGGCTGTGTTCTGAACAGGACATGTGGAAATTAGGTTATTTTTTTCTGGTTTGTGACAGTTTTGTCTTTTTTTTCAGAGAAACTGCACCCAGGACTATCTTCCAAAGAGTCCTGGATATCTTAAAGAAATCTTCTCATGCTGTCGAGCTGGCCTGCAGAGATCCATCCCAAGTGGAACATCTGGCTTCCAGTCTGCAGTTAATCACAGAATGCTTCCGGTGTCTCCGGAACGCTTGTATAGAGTGCTCTGTGAACCAGAACTCCATCAGGTAGCGTTCTTTGTCCTTACACGTACGCCTTCGCTTCCTTTCTGCCTGTGCATGCCTGTCTGACCTGCAGTCTGTCCGCGGGAAACTGTTGGGCATCGCAGTCTCACCGGGGACAAGCACTCTGAGGGTAGAACGGCATAACCTGGAATAGAGGGTGTTTAGCACCAAGGGTTGTTTAGATTTCTCATTTGTACTTACATGTTTTGAGGTACTTGGTTTCCTACATAGCATGGTGATTGGAATGTAATTTTGAGCCGTTGATCCTAGACTGCCTAAGTGCATGTGTAGCTCACTTGTCTTAGTTGTAAGTGTTTCAGTTCGTTTCGGTGTTTTCACCAGTGGCCTCGTGTTTACTTTGAACAGGGAGCACGTTCTGTGAAGGTCTGAGATGACCTAGCTTAAGGCTGCCCTGAGACTGTGTGAAGCTGCCCGCGCCCCTGCCACCTGCTTTATAATAACATGGCTGCAGAGCTGAGCAGAACTGCTCAGAGCTGTGCATGTTCTTTGACATGTTCTCTCTCCTCCCAGAACTGAGCACCTTCCTCTTTGATTTTATGGAATCTGCTTTTTATTAAAAATTTTTACTTGAGATGAAGTCAGAGCCACAAAGAGCATGCTCACCTTTCTTTCCTGAACTTGAATGTAGACGAGCCTCCAGGCCTCCCTGTCACTGCTGTGACGGGTGAAGCCGGTCTGGTCCAGAAGCCACTTGAGGGACGCCCTGCGCTGCCTAGACAGTTCTGATACCTGAGGCTTCTATATGATTAATGGGATTTTTAAGATGAAAGGAGAAAGGAAAAAAGCTTGGGTTGTTTAACTTTAATTCTAAACCAAACCTGCCATCCATTTGCAGATAAATGGATAGAAACAATTATAATCTTGATAATAGTAGTCAACATTTAAAAAGCATAACTAGTTATGTGCTGGAAGAGTGGGCCAGAGGCAAGTTTCCTTGGTCCCTCTGTAGGCAGGGAGGCGCTGGGGTGATGGGCAGGGGAGGGAGCCCTGGGGCAGGACGGGCTGAGGGCTGGCGGGTGATCGCAGCGCTTTGCCAGCCTCCCTCGCAGGGAGGGAGCGGCGTTCTGCCAGCCTACCCCAGCACCAGGCTTTGTAACCCTGGGCTCGACTGGCAGTGTCTCGTGTAATCCTGAGGACAAACTCAAGAAATACTTTGCTGCTATTTCTCTGGTCTTACAAAAGAAGAACTGTGACTCAGAGAGGTTAAAGAACTTGTCCGAGAGTACTCATTCCCTAAGAGCCCAGGACGGTTCTTTCCCGCTGCAAACTAGCTCAGCTCAGAAGCGGTCCCTTAGCGAGCCCGAGACACAGACCCTGTTTGTGCGACTCTGCACCCCTCTAACAGCTCTCGACCCTGCAAGGGCTTTTGCCTCTCCGAGTACTGGCTTTCTCCTCTGTAAAACAGGGCGAGGTGTTTTTCACAGGACTCTCGTGCGTTTTAAATGAGATTACTTCTGTAGGCTGCCCGCTGCGGCCTGTGTGCCCGGCTCGGCGGCAGTAGGTGTTTCTGCCCTGCTGGGGACGGTCGTGCAGAAACAAACACTGACCCTGCTCCTCTCTGTGAGCACAGTCCATTTTCATTTTCCTTCCTGAGTGCAAAAGTCATGTGTGCCAGCCAAAAGCATTCAAACTCCAACAGTCAGTACTATGGCAAATGAAATACCAGGGGGCCGGCTCCTGGCTGTTCTGTTCTGTGTGCTCATGGTGTCTCATGGTCAGGTTGAAATGAAAATGAACGTTTAATAGTGTTACTTTTTCTGCCTCTTACCTTCTAGATTTGTATTTATTTACTGTTGATTTTTTTTTTAAATCCTCACCCGAGGACATTTTTTTTTATTTTTTATTCAGATAGAGTGGGAGGGAGAGAGAGGGAGGGAAGGAGAGAGAGAGAGAAACACTGACGTGAAAGGGACACATTGAGAGTGACTGCCACCCACATGACCCAACCAGGGCCGGGGACAAACTGCAACTGAGATATGTGCCCTTAGCGGGAACCGAACGCGGGTCTGTCTGGTCTGCAGGCCGATGCTCTAACCGCTGAGCCAAACCGGCCAGGGCTTACTGTTGATTTTAAAGGGAAAGTCCAACCATTTAGGGAATTGATTCTCAGAAAAAAATATTTTCTAGTTAGATAGACAACAAAGATTCTGTAAGGACTCCAAGGCCAACCTTAACCAAAGCCAGTATTTCTGAACCTGTCAAGATTCAGATCACAACCAATATATATTTTTATGGTGTTTTATTTGAAATTTATTTAAGAGTTAGTCAAAAGGTGTGATTCTACTAAGGCTTAGATCTTTTCACATCATCTGTATGAATACTGCACGTTGTGTGAGCCTGGCTTATACTTTACTAGGATGTGTGTAACGGGGTCTAATACAGCAAAGCACATAGTCTGGGTCACGCGCATTCCAAGTACTCCAAGAACACTGTGGGAAGTGGTTAGCTCTGCATGTAAACATAATCCGAATTGCTATACTTTTTCTGTAAAAGTCCAGATAATAAATAGTTTAGGCTTTGTGATCTCTGTCAGAATTTCTCCGTTCCCCTCTTGTAGTGTGAAAGCAGCCATGAATAACAGGTGAGCCAGTGAGCCAGGTGGTTATGAGCATGACATGTGAAACTAGAGAACAAGTTTTTATTCTAAAATACAATGGTGGGTCCCAGCCGGTTTGGCTCAGCGGTTAGAGCGTCGGCCCGCGGACCAGAGAGACCCGGGTTCGGTTCCCGCTAAGAGCACGTACCTCGGTTGCAGTTTGTCCCTGGCCCTGGTTGGGGTCGTTTGGATGGCAGCCACTCGATGTGTCTCTCTCACGTCAATGTTTCTCTCTCTCTTCCTTTCTCTCTCCCTCCCGCTCTATCTGAAGATAAATGCAAAAATAAAATAAAATAAAATAAAATACAATGGTGGGACAGGCACAGGGTAACAGTTTTAGACATTGCCCTTTAAAAGAGGAGAAAACTGAAAGAAAAAGGAGTCACTGGTCCTGAGCAGTTTCCAAATCCAGCTGGGATCCTCTGAGCCTTGAGACCTGCCCTTGGCCCCGCCTCCGAGCCTTTCTGCCTTTTCCTGCGAGGAGAGCACATTGCCGCCCAATGGTTTTCTCAGCCTCTTTTCCTTTTTTAAAAAGAGAGAATGGAAGGGAGGGAGGGAGAGAAAGAAAGAGACATCGATTGATTGCCTCCCACATGACTCTGACCTTGGCCTGGGATTGAACCTGCAACCCAGATTCATGCCCTTGACCAGAATTCAACCTGCGACCCTTTGGTCCACAGATTGACACTCTAACCACTGAGCAAAACCAGTCAGGGCTCAATATCAGCCTATTTTCTACCTGTAGAATTTTGGGGGTCTGACTGCCTTTTATTTCATTCCTGTCTCTGTGTGTTTTGTTCAAGCTGGTAGAGTGTCTAGTGATATAACATTTTCAAAGTCCTGTGGGTCTCACATGTATGTCACGGGGATTCGCTTTAGACAAGAGGGTGTACCACAGAGCCTTCCTAGATAATGCCGTCTGACTCCTGGTGTCTGCTGAGGTGACAGGGCGATCACGAGAGTCACACCCAGTGCCCTCAGGGCCCGCTGTGTGTGTGTGTGTGTGTGTGTGTACCTTCTCCTTCTGCCACACCCATGGCTTTCTGAGAGCACACTCTCCTGACTGTGCATTCAGTTTTAGCATCTTTTGCAGTCTGCATAGGCTGAGAATCTCCCACATCATCAAGACCTGGTTTCCTCTTTGTTCCTTTGTCTGTCTCTCTCCTCTCGAATTTTAAGCAGCAAGAAGAAACCAGGCCTTCAAGGAGTTGCTTGGAAATTTGCTTAGCTAAACGCCCCAGTTTGGCGTTGCTGTGGTTTGCTCTCCGCACGCACGTCAGCTCAGCTTCGACCCGGTGTGAGGATGGCCTCCCCTGCAGTTTTCAGGAGTGCGCCTCCTCTCCCCGGCCTCGCCAGCGGTGCCTGTCGTCCGTGTTCCCGCCCAGTCTGTTCGAGGCTGGTTGGCTGTTTCCTGTCCTGCTCCTCGGAATGCTTCCAGCGCCTGCCCACTGTCACATTTCAGAGCCACTCCCCCTCCTTGGGCGTGTCCTGCAGTGGCCCTCCGCTCTGCCCCTGAATCCGCATGTTTCCTGAGCTCCTTGACAAAGTGACACAGCTTCGTGCTTAACACGGCAGATTTACTGTCTTGCGGTTCTGGAATTCAGAAGCTTGAGATGGGTTGGCCTGGTGCAGTCCTTCTGGAGGCTCGGGGGAGGACGTTGTCCAGCCTCGAGAGGCTGCCGGCATTGCTGGGCTCTTAGTCTCTTTCCTGACTCTGATCTTCCGCCTTCCTCTTATAAGGACCGGGTGATTCCACTGTCCCTACCTGATACTCCAGGACACTCCTCCCCCTCAGGATCCTCAGTATACTCCAGACTGTGAAGCCCCCTTTGTCCTGTGAGCTCACGTACTCACAGGTTTGGGGAGCAGGGGGGCACCTTTGGAGGCCATTGTTCCGCTGGCCACAGAAACTGTCAGCGTAGGCTCAGTGCTGTTTTTGGATCATTAAAATGCAGGCTTAGGAAGGTGTCTAACTTTGTCTCTTTTAACAACATAATACAGGAACTTGGATACAATCGGCGTTGCTGTTGATCTGATTCTTCTTTTTCGGGAACTTCAAGTGGAACCTGAAGCCCTGCTGACAGGTAACGTGCAGTACGGCTCATGAATCATGTCTCTGGAGAGGGTTTAACGACGACACACTGAGTGCAGTACGGTTCATGAATCATGTCTCTGGAGAGGGTTTAACGACGACACACTGAGTGCAGTACGGTTCATGAATCATGTCTCTGGAGAGGGTTTAACGACGACACACTGAGTGCAGTACGGCTCATGAATCATGTCTCTGGAGAGGGTTTAACGACGACACACTGAGTGCAGTACGGCTCATGAATCATGTGTCTCTGGAGAGGGTTTAACGACGACACACTGAGTGCAGTACGGTTCATGAATCATGTCTCTGGAGAGGGTTTAACAACGACACACTGAGTGTTACAGTATTCATTAGAGCAAATGGTCTGTAACGATACAGAGAAACTTTATTAAGATATTGAAGAATTATCACTAAAAGGTTGCCGTAACTTCCTTTCTTACCTCTGTTACGGGTTGAGCTGTGTCCCTCCAAGTTCACATGATGAAGCCCTCACCCCCAGTATCTCAGATGTGATGTATTTGGTTGGAGACAGAGCCTTTAAAAAAATTAAGGTAAAATGAGGGCATATGTGTGGCCCTAATCCAGTGTGACTGGTGTCCTTGTAAGAAGAAGACCTCAGGACACAGACACACATGCAGGGAAGACCATGTGAGGGTCCAAGGAGAGAAAGCCGTCTGCACGCTAAGGAGAGAGGCCCAGAAGGGACGGCGCTGGAGCGCCCTCCTCGCTTCCAGCTTCCAGAGCTGGGAGGTAGGCGCGTGGTTGCTCACGTGCCCCAGTCTGTGGCCCTTCGTTATGCAGCCCTAGCAGAGATTCGGTGTCTGTCGTACTCTGGATGGGGTAGGACCTGATCGAGGTGTTGGTGTGATCCCAGCAGTGACCCCAAAACCCCACCCTCAGGGTGCTTACATTCCATTGAGGGGAGCCAGATACTAAATGTGTTCAAGAAATTATCATGTGACAGATGGCAAGTTAGCTCTGATGGCAAGTTAGCCCTGATGGTTAGTGGCTGTTGATGTGGGATTAAGAGAAAAACCAGGCTTCTTATTTTGAAGGCCAGGAAGCCTTTCTAGACTCTTGAACTATTAGCATCACCCCTTTTCCTTTAAACTAGTGTTATTATCTTAACATCATATTAAAAAAAAAATAGAATTTTAATATATGAGATTTTTACCCAAAGAATTAAAATACTTTATGGGTAAACCTAAGTCACTTAATAAGAAAAATCTCAATGTAAATATCTGGCTTTTAAATAGATGTAGTTAAAAAAATCCTTTTTAGTAAAGAAAGTGTAATCTCCGGCTTTATTTAAAATGATTTGATATATAGATTAACTTATACGCAGTTCTTCATTGCCTGTACTTACATGAAGTGAGGCGTACTTACTCAGTGTGAGATGGCCTGCCCCGTGGGGAGGTGGGGGGAGCCGGGGCGTGGGGTGAGATGGCCTGCCCCGTGGGGAGGTGGGGGGAGCCGGGGCGTGGGGTGAGATGGCCTGCCCCGTGGGGAGGTGGGGGGAGCCGGGGCGTGGGGTGAGGTGGCCTGCCCCGTGGGGAGGTGGGGGGAGCCGGGGCGTGGGGTGAGATGGCCTGCCCCGTGGGGAGGTGGGGGGAGCCGGGGCGTGGGGTGAGATGGCCTGCCCCGTGGGGAGGTGGGGGGAGCCGGGGCGTGGGGTGAGGTGGCCTGCCCCGTGGGGAGGTGGGGGGAGCCGGGGCGTGGGGTGAGGCGGCCTGCCCCGTGGGGAGGTGAGGGGAGCCGGGGCGTGGGGTGAGATGGCCTGCCCCGTGGGGAGGTGGGGGGAGCCGGGGCGTGGGGTGAAATAGGCCGAAAGAGGCGCTGCCTGGCGTGCTTTGATTCTCATTCCATTCTGTGATTTTGTGATGTTTTTTTATTTAAAGCTCATTTGTTAAAATTCTTGTGTCTTTCTAGTTGATATAGAACTTTTCCTTTGAGAAATCATAATTATTTTTTGAATTAAGTTATCTAAGAATTTACAAAGTGTTTGCTCTCAGTTTTTTTTTAACAGCAGTAATTTTTCGAATATTCTCAAGAAATTGATAGGATGTAGGACTTAGTTGTAACGTGTTTTTAAGATCTAAAGTTATCTTTGTTGCTCTATTTTATAATAAAACAGAGGTGTCATTGCTCAATTTGGGGGATTAACAATCAGCAATAAAAGGCAGATTTCACTTCTTCGTGGAAATGCCGCTGTTTTTGAAGTCTGTGTGGTACGGTAACTCAGAGAGAGTTCAGAATGTACTACGTTCTGTAATTGCTGAAAAATACTCGTGGTAGAGTTGTCCCTGGCAGTGCTGTGGAGCTGTGGTGGGCAGTGGGCTTCTCCCGTGAGGATGTGCCCCGAAATAAGGCGCCCAGAGGGGGTGCCCTGTGAGCGAACGTTGCGGTTAGACAGCTGCCCGCTGGACACAGTGCTCGGCAGGCGGGCAGGCGGGCATCGGGCGGGCAGGCGGGCATCAGACGGGCGGGCGGGTGGGCATCAGACGGGCGGGCGGGCATCAGGCGGGCGGGCAGGCATCAGGCAGGCGGGCAGGCGGGCGGGCATCAGACGGGCGGGCATCAGACGGGCGGGCTCTCAGACACGCGGCCCGAAACTGCCCGCTGTCCGCCGCGTCTGCGTCCCTCCTCTCCCTCCCGGCGCGTAGGGGCTGCCGTCTCCAGCTGCAGGCCTTCCTGGGTCCACGTCCCTCAGGTCACCCGTCCTCCCTCTGCTCTCTCCCATGCCTGCTACAGGGGCTTGTTATTTACTGTTTACAGGACATGATAGGGGACACTTCATCTCACAGGATTAACTTTCTCTTCACTGAAGCAAGTAGGTCTGTCACAAAACTTAAAGGAGCCGATTTCTGAAACTTTTTAGTTGTTTTTTTTTTATCCTCACCCGAGGACATTTTTCCATTTTTTGTTCAGATAGAGTGGGAGGGAGGGAGAGAGAGAGAGAGAGAAACATCGACGTGAAAGGGACACACCGAGTGTCTGCCACCCACACGACCCCAACCGGGGCCAGGGACAAACTGCAACCGAGGTACTTGCCCTCAGTGGGAACCGAACCCAGTCTCTCTGGACCGCAGGCCGACGCTCTAACCGCTGAGCCAAACCGGCCAGGGCCGATTTCTGAAACTTTTTATGAACCAGTTTGAAGTTGGCTGTTTGGTTGTTGGCTTGGCTGTTCACGGACACCCCGCAGTTGGAGAGGCTGGACCTGCAGACCTGTTTCGAGTGAGGCGTGTGAGAGTTGCAGCGACTTAGGCTGCAGTTGTGTCAGCTCAGTGTTTTTATTGACAGGAGAGTCACAGGAGATAAAAATAACCAATTTAAGCTGAGTGGCATCTAGTGCCTTCACAGGTTTGCACACCTGCCACCGCCTCTGTCTTGCAGATATTTTCATGATGCACCCCAAAAGGCGACCCTGTGCCCTCTGAGCACCTTATTCCCTTTCCTGCCCCGAGCCCCAGCAGCCACCATTCTGTGCTTCGTCTCCGTGGGCTCACCTGGTTTGATGTTTCCTATAAATGGAATCATAGAATTATGCATCTTTTGAGTCTGGCTTTTTTCACTTATAATTTTTATTGAGGCTCATTCATATTGTAGCATGTATCAGAACTTTGCTTTTTTTTTAATGCCAGGATAATTCCATTGAATGCTTATACCACATTTTCTTTATCCATTTGTTTGTTGATGGGTATTTGGGTGGTTTCCATCACTTAGCTATTGTGCCCTCTGTAAAAACATGCTCGCACATGGACTTGTCTGAGTACTTGCCTTCAGTTCCTTTGGGGATATACCTAGGAGTGGAATTAGTGGGTTAATGTTATGTTTCAATTTTTAAGGAACTGCCAAACTTTTCCACAGCAGCTGAACCATTTTATATTTTCACCAAAAATGTGCAAGGTTCCAGTTTCTTCATATCCTTGCCAACATTTATTTCCTTTTATTCAGATTATAATCATCCTGGTGGGTCTGAAGTGGTTTTGATTGGCATTTCCCTAATGACTAATGATGCTGAACATCTCATGTACTTGTTGGCCATTTGTCGATCTTCTTTGGGGAAATGTGTATTCAAGTCCTTGGCCCAGTTTTTAACTGGGCTGTTTGTCTTTTTCTTGTCAAATTATAAAAGTTACTTATATATTGTGGATGCTAGGAATTATGTGGAATTCATAGATCCTTCTGGAGAGACTTACCATGTTAATGATACTGTGTCTTCCAGTCTGTGAGTGTGGAACATCTGTTTATTTAGGTCCTCTTCAGTATTTTAGTTGTATCAATTTCAAGTAGAGAATTTGTGTTTATTGGTGGAGTTGGAAGACCATTACTGAGGAGAGAAGGAAAACAAGCTAAGTTTTCTCACTACCTTCTTGAAAAAGGCAGCTAACAATATTACCGAATTTTATTTGGAATTCAACAATGAAACTTTAAAAATATTTATAATATGTTAGTTCAAACCTAATACACATCTTTTAAAAGGTATTTTGGTTCCTAATAAAGTTTGTATACTATTTTTTTTACTATTTCTTGGTGAGAACCTTATTCTTGGTAGAATTTTAGCAGGATATCTGTGCCAGTTTTTTGTTAACCACTTTTGAGGTAAGAACTATAATTACATTGTCAAAATAATATTTAGAGTATTATTTTCAGAGAATAATTACAGTGGTGTGACGAATATATTATACTCATCAAATTTTATGTAAACACAAGCATGAGTTATTTTAATTGAGTTATTGGTGTTATTTTTGGCTTTTATTCTTTTCTAATCTGTAAAAATAATGTTGGGATTTTTGAGGGGCTTTGTAACATTTGCAGTATTTACATAAAGATCATTTGATAAGCTGTTTGGTAAAAGTAAACTGTCATTTGTACTTGTCTGGAGTTTTCTTTTCTTGTTTCTGGGACATCTTTAAACCATTTCTTTCCCAGAATTGTGTTCTGATTCAGAGTGCTGAGTTCTAGTTGCCTGATGAATTGTTGGGTCAG